CTACTATTTCCCTTTATCTATCTTGCTTGTTACCTCCTCAAAGAATTCTAGAAAATTTGTCAGTGATGATTTCCCCTTCAAGAAACCATGCTGACTCTACTTGATCATTTTATGTATTTCTAAAAGCTCTGCTTTTAGACTCTAATGTTATAATAGAATATAAAGTTTTCCCAATAGCAGATGTTAAGATCATTGGCTTAGGTGAGAGGAGGAAGATTTAAAAAGGATATGAAGGGCAATTTTTTTTTTTACACAGAGAGTGGTTCATGTGTGCAATGAACTGCCAGAGAAAGTGATAGATGCAGGTACAGTTACAACATTTAAAAGCATTAAGAAAAGTTCATGAATAAGAAAGGATTTTGGAGGAAAATGGGCCAAGCACAAACAGGCGGGACTGGTTTAGTTTTGGAACACGTGGACTGGTCAGACCGAAGGATCTGTTTCTGTATTGGATGGCTACGTGTTTCTTGTCTCCTTCCCTTTTTAAATAAAGGTGTTACATTGACAGATATATGTAAGCATAATAAGTTTGTAATGGTGGGGGATTTTAATTTTCCAAACATTGACTAGGACTAACATAGAGTTAAAGGTTTGGATGATGAAGAATTTGTCAAATGTGCTCAAGAAAATTTTCTTCATCAATATGTGGATGCTCCTACTAGAAATGGAGCAAAACGAGACTCTCTTTTGGGAAATAAGGCAGGGCAGGAGACTGAGATAAAAGCAGGGGAACACTTTTGGTCTAATCATCATAATTCTATTACTTACAAAATGGTCATGGAAAAGGATAAGCCTTCCATAAAAGTTAAAGTTTTAATTGGAGTAAGGCAAATTTTAATGATTTGAGACAAGAACGTTCAAAAGTTGATTGGAGTAGACTAATCGCAGGTAAAAAGATGTCTGACGAATGGGAGGCATTCAAGAGTGTGATGACGAGAGTTCAGAGACATTATGTTCCTAATAGAGTGAAGGGTAAGGCTGGTAAGATTACAGTACAATGTATGAATAAAGATGTTGAATTTCTAGTAAAGAATAACAAAGATTTTTTTAAAGATATAGACAACTTGGTTCATTTGAATCTCTTAATCAATATAAAGAGCGTAGGGGCATTCTTAAGAGAGAAATCAGGAAGACAAAGAGGGGATACGAGATAGCATTGGCTGATAAGGTTAAGAATAATCCAAAGAGATTCTAGAAATACATAAAGAGCAAGAGGGTAACAAGAGAGAGGGTTGGGCCTCTTGAAGATCAAGGAGGTCATTTTTGTGTTGAACCCCAGGAGATGGGACAGATACTAAATGAATATGTCGCATCAGTTTTTACTGTGGAGAAAGAAATAGAGTCTAGAGAATGCAGAGAAATAAACTTTGATGTTTTAAAAACAGTTCACATTACAGAAGAGGAAGTTCAGGAGGTCTCAGAGAGTATAAAGGTGGATAAATCTCTGGGACCTGATCTAATGTATCCCAGAATGTTGTGGGAAGCAAGGGAGGAAATTATGAGACCCCTTGCAGAAATATTTGCATCATTTATAACTACAGGTGAGGTTCCTGATGACTGGAGGGTAGCTAATGTTGTATCTTTGTTTACAAAAGTTTGTAAGGAGAAACCAGGGAACTATAGACCCATGAGTCTAACATCAGTTGTGGGTAAATTGTTGGAGGCAATTATAAATGATAAAATCTACAGACATTTAGAGAGGCAAGACATGATTAGGGATAGTCAGCATGGTTTTGTGCGAGGAAAACTGTGTCTCATAAATGTGATTGAGTTTTTTGAGGAAGTTACCAAAAAGATTGGTGAGGGCAGAACAGTAGACATTGTTTATTTCGATTTCAGTAAAGCCTTTGACAAGGTTCCACATGGTAGACTAGTTAGTAAAGTTAGGTTACATGGGCTTCAAGGTGGGCTTGCCAATTGGATACAAAATTGGCTTAATAGCAGGAGACACAGAGTGATGGTGGAGCGTTGCTTTTTGGACTGGAGGCCTGTCACCAGCAGTGTTCCAAAGGGATTGGTTCTGGGTCCTCTTTTGTTTGTCATTTATATAAATGATTTGGATGAGAATATAGATTGCATGGTTAGTAAGTTTGCGGATGACACCAAAATTGGTGGCATTGTAGACAGTGAAGTAGGTTTTCTAAGATCAGAAAGGGATCTTGATCAAATGGATTAATGGGCTGAAAAATGGGGGATGGAGTTCAATCTGGATAAATGAGGGGTATTGCATTTTGGTACAACAAACAAAGGTAGGGCTTATACAATTAGTGGTAGAGTCTCAGGTAGTGTTGTAGAACATAGGGACCTAGGGGTGCAGGTACATAATTTTTTGAAATTTGCGTCACATACAGACAGGAATGATGAAAAAGGCTTTTGGCACGCTTGCCTTCATTGCTCAGTCCTTTGAGTGTAGGAGTTGGGACGTTATGTTGAGGTTGTACAGGACAGTGGTGAGGCCTCTTCTGGAATGCTGTGTCCAGTTCTGGGTGCCCAGTTAGAGGAAGGATATAATCAAGCTGGAGAAGGTTCAGAAGAGATTTGTGAGGATGTTGCTGGGTATGAGAGTTTGTGTTATAAAGAAAAGACTGGCTAGGCTTGGACTTTCTTCACTGTAACACAGGAGGTTGAGAGTTGACCTGAAAGAAGTTTATAAAATAATGACAGATAAAGATAGATTAAATGGTAGTTGTCTTTTCCCTAAAATGGGGAATTTCAAGACTAGGGGGTGCATTTTTAAGGCAAGAGGATAGAGATTTAAAAAAGAAATGAGGGGCAAATTTTTTTACACACAGGGTGGTTCACCTGTGGAATGAACTTCCTGAGGAAGTGGTGGATGTGGGTACAATTATAACTTTTTAAAAGACATTTGGATCGATACATGAATAGGAAAGGTTTGGAGGGATATGGGCCAGGAGCAGGCAGATGGGACTGGTTTAGTTTGGGATTATGTTCAGCATGGACTGGTTGGACCGAAGAATCTGTTTCTGTGCTGTATGACTATGACAATTTTCCAATCCTCTGGGACTATTCCAGAATTTAAGGCTTCCCAGGAGATTACTACCAGTGCATCAATCCTCTCTGTAGATACTTTCTTTAATTTCCTAAGGTGCATCCTATTCGGTCCAGGGGACATATTGGTCTTCAGACCCTTTATGCTTATCCTCAGCAGCAGCAAAACCTGTCAATAGTTTTGAATCCACTGGAATGAATGTTTCTCTCATTTGCTTTTCCAAGCTAACTCAGTTGTCCAGTTTCATTGTTTGTTCAAGCTAGGTAATCTGCAAATGATTTTCATCCCATTAAGTGGAACTTCCAGAAAAGCATGAATCAAACAGGAGGCACAGATGTTAATTTCAGCGCTTTCTCAAAATGACATTAATTTCAGTTCAGACCGATTCTTGTTTATTGATAGTTTCACGGGCTTAGCTCAACCTAGTCAGGTGACCACTGTTGCATCTTAAGTCAATGTTTTTCCTTTTCTAAAAAACATTTTCATCATTAAAAAGTTCTCAAGTATTAAAATCAGATGATGGCATTTGAAAATTGATAATGGATATTTACCACTATCATAACACATTCCAGGACATCACCTATGTTCCTTCAATAGAGGTGGAATGATGAACTTTCACAATTTTGTTCTTCATTATCTCATGCAGTGACCTTGTTGGTCCTTGTTCTTGTGTTTAGCTCATCAAAAGCCACTGCAGATGAATCTATCAAATTCTCTGTGTTCTGGTCTTGAATCATAGATAGAATCCCTACAGTGTGGAAACAGGCCCTTCGGCCCAACAGGTCCACACTGATACAAAGAGCATCCCACCCAAACCTATCCCCCTAATCTACACATCCCTGAACACTATGGGCAATTTAGCATGGCCTATCCACCTAGCCCGCACATCTTTGTACTGTGGGAGGAAACCGGAGGAAACCCACGCAGACACGGGGAGAATGTGCGTACTCCACCCAGGCAGTCACACGAGGGTGGAATCGAACCTGGGTCCCTGGTGCTGTGAGGCAGCAGTGCTAACCACTGAGCCACCATGCCGCCCTATCTTCACGAAAATCTTCACGAAAAGTGAAAATCACCAAAAATTGCTCTTTTTGAGAGGAACAATTGGTGCCAGGTTTAACCTGGCTGGGTCACGATGCCTCAGATTTGGGGCAAGGTTGAGAAGGCATATCCTTCATAGTGGCCTCAGTCAGCATGGGAATTGAACCCATGCTGTCGACATCATTTTGCATCACAAACCAGACTCCCAGTCAACTGACCTGAGCAATTTTATATTCAGTGCAATGACATCATTATTCTTCACATTTAAATTCTTGATGCCTTCTGATTTCTGACATGATAGGTTCTCAAAGAAATAGTGAAATAGTTGTAAACTCCAAAAATCTCTTGTTCATTATGCCTTTATTTGACCTTCCATATAGGGATTTGCTGGTTAGACTTTATGTGTACACCCTTTTCTAATAATGAAGTTTACAGTATAGAAGGAAACTAATCATCCTTTCACATGAAGTTTTTTTTTGTTCAATTTAAATTAGCTTTAGAAAGTGCAAGACTCAAAATGTAACTACAGTATTTGAAGATATTCATTATCATTACATTTAAATGTCTGCCATGCTCAGTTCTAGCATTCTTGCCTGAGTCTGAGATGGTGGGTTAAAATCTCACCTCAGACTTCAGCACGGAATCCAGGCTGATAACCAGAGGGAGGACTGAGGCTTTAATGGCAGGGAGAAGGAATAAATTGAGTGGACAATTGATTCAAGTGTTTAAAATACCAAAGAGAACAGGTAATGCAGAGATGAACAAACTATATAACTTGCCCTTTAGTACAGATTTATACTGCAAAATTGGCAAACGTGCAACAGTTCAAGAATTTCAACTCCAATGTTCCATTGCACAGCAAACATAATTCTCATTGAATTAAGTTACTCAAAAACAACTCTGTACACAACCTGGGACACACTGTACAAACAAAGTGATGCATATGTACCTCTCTGCCAGAGTTTGTTGTTCATTTATTCCGATGTTAAAAAATACTGGGTGCACACGTAGCAGCTTTCCATCTTTAATCTCTTGCGGCAAAACTTCAAACAACTTACTGGGAAGCTGAACCTCCACTGTGTAAAAATCTCTGCAATAAACAAGCGAGAAGAGAGCAGACACAGATATTTAAAATAGTATTCAATCTAGATGTTCGCACATGCCAAATGATGGAGCAGATTATAACTCTAGGTTGGTTCAGTGTGTGTGGAGCCTAAAGCAGGCAGTGCACCTAAACACAGAGATAAGTAAGGACCAGATGTTAACAATAGGCCTCAATTTGCCTTTACCTATGACAGTTAGGATTGGTGCAAATGCTGGAGTGTGGGAGGTGGAATTCAAGTGATCCCAAGGAAAAAGGAGTATTGAGGGTGGGCTAGGTGGAGAAAAGATTTGCAGAACCAATGCTGTTTCATCTGGAAAAGAAAAGACTAATGACCAGAATGCTCAGAATTACTTGTTGGGCCCTGAGGATCATTCCTTCCAAGGATTAAAGAAATTCCACATACTCTGATCTCTTCTAGCCACTGAGAGTCCCAAACAAGTTTCAGTATTAGGCATGTGACTAGGTACTCCTTCAACATTCCAGCATCAAAACTGTCATGGTGCTGATGATATCACTGGGTGACAACATTTACCTTTCAATTCAGACCCCAACTGCCTTTAGCTGGAGCCTTAGTTGGCTTGAAAATAAGCAAAGATATAATAAAATGACCCATAGTAAATAAGCCAACTTGCCCAATCCTAAACATCCCCCACCTGGCCAGCATCTCACATTGTTCCCAAATACGGTCAGAATGAACCTAACTTCTCACAAAGTAATGTATTTAATATGCAACACTGAGGTTTATAGCAGCATAGCAATAATACAAATGTAAGCAAAAGGTAGTCTGAAAACCCAAGTATAACAGCTTAATAAGCAACAATTAAGCAATTAGTTTTAAGATGTTAACCATGGTCTTTCAATAACAATTAAGCAGAAATAAATTTTTTTCTTAAAATTATAAAATGTTAGTAAACAATAACACTCCTTATATTTCTAATTTCAAACTTGAGTTTCTCTGTCCTGAGGCCATATGTTATTCAGATAAGGTTAAGACGACAGTTTGTTCCAGGCATCTGTTGTTGCTAAGACAGGCATGATTTATCCCTGAATGAACACTTAATCTCTTTGTGTAAACACCCCAATTCCACACTGCACTTTGGGCAACAGTGCAGTCTAAAGCTGGAATTCAATAATTGGAAGGACTCATGTGCACAAAGCACAAAATAGCTGGTTTATGGTGAAATATATTGGTACTCCACACATGGAAATATGAGATTGTTTGCAACTTGTCATAAACTCAACAGCAATACCACAGACTACATGGTTACATGGTGCATTCTTGGATGTAAATTGAAGTACTTTTGTTGTTGACACAGAAATGGTGTTGTAATCTTCAAGTATTATTTAGATGAAGTGTGAAGAACTTCTGTACGTAGTGTATTGTGATATGACTGTGGATGATGGTAGCTTGGAATGATGTCATAAATATTATGTCACTGAGCTAGTGACCAAAGGCTTGTACTAATGCTCCAGTGATATGAGTTCAATCCGACTGCGACAGCTTCAGAAATTTAAATTCAATTAATTAATCGGTGTTGAAGAAAAAGTTAAACAAAAAGTAATCATAATAATGACTGATCATGAAGTTAATGGATAGTACAAAAATCTCTTTGGTTCATCTATGCCCATCAGGGAATGAAACCTGTTGTCCAGACCCAAGTACACCTTTCATGCGACTCTCGACACACAGCTATATGGCTGACTCTTAATTGCCCTCTGAAATAGCTGAGCAAGCCACTTAGTTTCTCAAGTTGCTACTGAAAAGTTATATACTTGAACCAATTACCATCAACTTATAGACTGGAAATGACAAAAATGCACTCTGCCCAGTTAACCCTGTAAAGTTCTAGTAACATCTGGGGACACGTGTCAAAATTCAAAGTGATGCCCCATAGACTAGTCAGGAAACAGCCTTTTTCAATAATTTTCACTGTCCTACAACCAATGCCCGATTTCTCTATCACTATTTCTGGGTATATCCTGTCCCACCAATAGGTTAGACACACCTAAGCTGGCAGCAGAGTTATATAATCAGGAAGGAAGCAGAAAGGAGTCACTGAGGGACCCCTCAATACTGATGTCCCTTGGCATCAGGTCAAACATGGGCAAAAATCCTCTTGCTGATTCCCATCTCCCACTCACCCTCAGCTGATAAATCAATGCTCTGCCACTCTGAACAGCACTTGGAGCAATACGGTTGGTAGGCAGAGCACAGAATGTACTCTGGGTGGAGGACATCAATTTCCAAAACTAAGACGGGAAGTTCCACAAACCTTCCCATCCCCAATGACAATGAAGCCCAACAAGTCAGTGCAAAAGGCACAGCTAAAGCATTTGCGGCGGCTTAGTCAATTCAAAAGTCTTCAGTCAATTCAAATCACTCCACATGATTTCAAGAGATAGCTGATTACTGCAAAGACTATGGGCCCTAACAACATACTGTTTGTGCATAGAAACACATTAATTAGGAGGAGTAGGCCACTTGAACCATCGGGCTTACTCTGCTTTACAACAAGATCATGACTGATCTGGTAACTCAACTGAACAAATTAAAGAAAACCTCTCGCCTGCCTTCTATAAACTTTCAACCTTTTGCTTTTTAAGAATCAATCTATGCCTTTAAAGTATTCAAACGCTCTGCTTCTGCAACCTTTTGAGGAAGACAACTCCAAAGACTCATGACTGTCTTTAAGAAAAACATTCTCCTTACCCCTACCTTAAATGGGTGACCACTTATTTTGGAACAGTGACTTCTACTTTTAGATTCTCCTGCGAGAGGAAATATCTTTTCCATGCGCATCCTGTCAAGACCACTCAAGGTCTTATATGTTTCTGTCAAATCACCTCTTACTATTCTAATCTCCAACAGATAAACTGCCATCTTTACCTGGTTTACCTACATATGACTCCAGACCACAATAACATGGTTGATCCTTGGCTGCCTTCTATAATGGCCTACCAAGCCACTCAGTTGTATAAACTGCTACAAAATCTAAAGAATGGTAAGAACCTGGAGATACCATTAGGTTTGGCATCATCTCTCTAGGTTGCAACATCAAGGGTCTTTCTGACAGTTTTAAGTTTTGTCAGTAATCAAATGCTATACTTTGTTTGGATCTTTATTTTCTGTCTGTCAGTTTTAAAAAAAGACAGCTCTCTTTAGCCTCAAATTATCCAGTATGACTTTAAATAGCTGTTAATGTAAAACTACATTGCCAAGAACGATCTACTGTTCAGAAATGATGGCAGATCTAAACTTTTTCCCCTTGTCTTGCAGATGAGGTTGCAATTGTTTAAAATCCTGAAACAATTTCTTGTCTTCTGTGCAAGTGCTTCTTCGGGGAGGTCAATACATTGGCAGCCCACATATTCAACAAGTTATGTGAATTACAAATCTTTGGTTAAAAAGGGTCAAACAAATTTTGTTAATGGAATTCCTTGCAACATTTCATTCCTATTCAAATCCGTTAAACTGCAAATTTCACTTCATAATCACTGGTGCAGGCTTAGAAAATTTTAAACGAAAGATTAGGCAATTTTGTTTTGGCACTTGCTGGGTTTGAATACTAAAAAACTGAGGTACATGATCCAGTTTTCAACATTTAATACTTTAAAATCAAGTCTCCTTACCCCAACAGCAGACTTATTGGCTAAGTTAACCAGTTGGACGTTTTAGAATGCTATTTCAATTCCAAAGAAAGCATACAACATGAAATAGTTTCATCTCCTCATGTGGGCAATAACAATCTGGTTCCTACATGTACCCATCATTCTAATCATGTCCACAACATATCATGTACACAATGTCTCAATTCAATGATCTATTATCAGTTTTAACTTTGATTAGAAAATTCGATACAGTATATTTTGATATTGTATCATACTGTGTGATATTGCAGCTTATTGATCAAAATGAATATGTGGTAAGATTATGCAACTACTTGTTTCTGTTCTGAAAAATACTGCTTACCTGATTCCAGTCACAACAGGATAAAGATTGGCACTAGCACTCTCTTCCAACTGTGCTTCAACAACTTTGAATGCCACTTTCTGTAAATCTACGATTGCAACTGACATGTCCTCTAGCATTCCAATCTCTTCACCTGAAAGTTAAAAAAAAAATCCTTTAAACGTCAGCAGCTTTTCTAAAGACTCTACAAAACTGTGTCAAAAGTGAAATGCTCTTGGTAATTAGCAATTATCTTAAAGTAAACTTAACAGAACCTATTACTGTGAAATCCCCATTATCTGGCATATATTTGGAATGGAGGGTGCCAGCTACATAAATCAACTAGTTACATAAGAAATACGGGTGAATGTATGAACATATTAGCATGCAAGTTCAAATTGACATTTTTCAGGAAGCTTTATCCAAATGGTAATTTTTTTTTGAAATTTTTGCCATTTGCATGAAAATTCTGGATGCTTGGCTACCATATAACTGGGAGTTTACTGTACAAGATCTTTTGAGCCTCTTCTGCTATACCTTTTATAAAAGGTCCAGGTGTTGTTGAGTTACCTTGTTAACCAAACCCAATAGTCCATCTTAAGAAGTAACAACCGGCAGCCCATGCCCTGGTCTGGTGAAAATAGTCTGAGGTACACGGAAAATGACCCAATACCGAAAAGGTCATGTACATACAGAGACTGAATCAAGATAAATGGGTGGCACGGTGGCTCAGTGGTTAGTACTGCTACTTCACAGTGCCAGGGACCCAGGTTTGATTCCAGTATTTGGTGACTGATTGTGTGGAGTCTGTATGTTTTCCCCATGTCTGTGTGGGTTTTTGCCAGGTGCTCTGGTCTCCTCCCACAGTCCAAAGATGTGCAAGTTAATTGGATTGGCCATGTTAAATGGCCTGTGGTGTCCAGGAATGTTCAGGCTAGGTGGATTAGCCATGATAAATGCAGGGATAGAGTTAGGGTTGTGGGTCTGGAGGATATGCTCTTCAGAGGGTCACTGTGGTCTTGATGGGCTGAATGGCCTCTACTTGCACTGTAGACACTCTATGAGTCGAAGTTTTCCAAAGCTTTTTTTGGTTAATAGCAGACTGGCAAACTGTTGCCATGTGCAGTAGAAGCATGAGATTTCCAGCGCTTTGAAACACAAATTGTAATTGGTTTGGAACCTTTCAGAACCACGTTTTCTTTTGAAAAAAATACATTAAAAGGGTCACTAAGATGTCTAAAGGTCAGCTGAGTTTTATGATTTCGTCACAGGTTACTGCAGGTCCCCGGAAAGGTCATAATTGAATAATTTGGTTGGGGCGTGCTGTGTGTGGGTTGGCACTTCCTTTTGGATGGAAACACTAAGATAAAACCCACCTGTGGAATTTACACTCGTGTGGTTTATGGGCTTAACCAAAGCTTAGTCCATAGAACTTAGACACTATGTCTCTGAGCTTGAACGTTGACAATGAAATATAAACGTAGTACAGGAGTAGGCCATTCAGCACTTTGAGTCTGCTCTGTCATTCAATACGATCATGACTTATCATCATACTCAGTTCACTGTTCTCACTTTCTCCCTGTACCTTTTGATCCCTTTAGTCCACAGAACTATATCTAACTCCTTCTTGGAAATATACGTTGTCCGGGCCTCAACCACTTTCTGTGGCAAAAAATTTCACAGGCTTACCAGTTTCTAGGTGAAGAAATTTCATCTTATCTCAGTCCTAAAAGGTCTATCCCATATCCTTAGACTATGACCCCTAGTTCTGGACTCCTTGGTCATCGTGAATATCCTGACAACAGAGTAAGAGTCAGCAAAGTGCAGTACTATATTGTACCTGCTGTTTCAAACCATCACACAAGGTCAATGAAGTTTGGAAATCGAAAATCAGTTGATTTCCTATATGAATGCTGATTCTACCAATAAACATTCTCATGGAGACCATTCTTAGCATTAGAGACAAAATGTCAGCAATTATGGCTGAAACTTTTGAATAACAGCTTCAATTTTATTCCAAAATTCCAGACATTTCTGACTAACAAACACAGTCAGGTACATTCCCATTCAGTAAACTGCATTAAAAAATAAAGTACTAAGTAGCATAAACTAGGAATATCTCAGCTTCTATCACCAGATCAGGCTTACTTAACACATCTCACAGAGGGCTGTATTAGTAGTGCTAGAACTGTAGTGGAAATTTTTAAAATGTAGGTACTTTAAAGCATTTAGCTATAATGCATGGAATTTTTTCAGCTCTTCTACAGACTGCAAATATCTCCAAATGTTAACCAGGCTTTCCAAAAACCTAGATAGTACAAAAGAGGCAGCAACGTTTTGTAACTAAATTCCAGCTGACTAAGAATCTAAGCAGGGAGTTGTTCTTGGTCATTATCAAAAGCTGCAGATTTGATAAGTGATATAATAGGGGGATAATGGAAGGGTATTTGCTTGAATAGACAGCTAGCTCGCACAAAGTTCAAACCTCATTCTAGCTGAAGTATATGTGGGCCCTATCTCCTTGCCCTACCCATTGTAAAATATAGTGGGCACTTTGCCAAGACTTGCTGAATAACCTCTAATGATTTGCCTTTGGGCGGTGAACTCAAGATGATGATGATAATAATTGGAGGGGTTAGCAATCTACCGCTGGTGCTTGATATCCCTAGTTAACGTTTTACCAGTTCTACAATGAGTTACAATATATGGGGCATTTCAAAATCAGCTCCCCTTCATTAGCTATAACTACATTTGTTGGTCATTAAGGATTCTTCAATTAGACATGTTGTCAGTCCCTGAGCTCCTGTACAAGTCAGATATGAAACACATATGTTACAAGTCCATTAATTTTATATATTTTTCATTTCTGATGAAACACAGTGAATGTATCTAAATATTTCAACTGCACTTTGCTTTCAAGTGATTTAGCAAACAATTGGTTACTTATTTGTAAATATCTATAGTTAGGAAGAAATAGAATCTAAAAGTAGAATACTAATAGTATAAATTTCAATAGAACTGTTATGTGGGTTATCTGAATTTTCACTGAGCATTTGAAGAAGTATCAAATACAAATCTATGGTAAAGATAATGGTGTCTGAAATTAAGAAGAATAAAGCACATCAATAATTTATAGTTAGTGGGCAGAAAGAAGCCATATGTGGAAATAGGATACTCTCAGAATGTGCCAAATGATGTTTCAGAAGGATTTGTGTTGGGACTGATTTTATTTCCTGTATATATCAATAATGTGTATTTAAGAACTGAAGACATAATATCAAAATTTGGTTTGACACCAAATCAGAAGTAAGGCAAATTGAGACAGTCAAGAAAGCACAACAACACCTCTTCTTCCTCAGGTGGCTCAGGAAATTTGGCATGTCCATAAGGTCCCTTACCAACTTCTACAGATGCACCATTGAAAGCATACTGTCCGGGTGCATAACGGCCTGGTGTGGCAAATGCTCTGCCCAGGACCGAAAGAAACTACAGAAGGTGTTGTGCACAGCCCAGACCATCACGGAAGCCAACCTTCCATCCAGGGACTCTGTTTACACGGCCCGCTGCTGTGGAAAGGGGGCCAACATCATCAAAGAACCATCGCACCCTGGTAATTACTTTATACAACCTCTTCCATTAGGACACACGCACAAGCAGTTCAGGGACAGTTTCTTTCTGGCTGTTATCAGACTGCTGAATGGAGTTTAGCCCCAGATAATGTAACCTCTATGCCTGTAAGTCTTTGCTTGCTGCAATCTGCCTGTACCGCTCGTAAACAAAGCTTTTCAATGTATTTCGGTACACACGACAATAAAATCAATCAAATCAAAAAGCTGTGATCATAATTGGATTCAGAAAAGATTTACAAGAATATTGTCAGAGTCGGACGGTTTGAGCTGTATGGAAAGGCTGAATAGGTTCGGGCTATTTTCCCTGGAGCATCAGAGGCTGAGGGGTGACCTTATAGAGCTTTATAAAATCATAAAGGGCATGAATAGGGTGAACAGTCAAAGTCTTTTCCCCAGGGTAAGGAAGTCCAAAACTAGAGGGTATAGGGTTAAGGTGAGAGGAAAAAGATTTTGAAGGGACCTAAGGGGCAACTTTTTCACGCAGAGGGTGTGCATGTATGGAATGACCTGCCAGAGGAAGTGATGGACGCTGGTAAAATTACAACATTTGAAAGGCATCTGAATGGGTACATGAATAGGAAGGGTGTGGAGAGATATGGGCCAAATTCTGGCAAATGGGATTAGATTAATTTAGGATATCTGATCAGCATGGACAAGTTGGACCAAAGGGTCTGTTTCCGTACTGTACATCTCTATGACTCTATGACTACAGAAGTTTGCAAAAGAATATAATTATGTGGTAGATGGAAATTAATATATATTGCATCCACTTTTGCGTACCTTACTTTAGGAAGAATGTCAAGGCCATGAAAAAGAAATAAAAGAAAATTAAGAAGATATGAAGGATGAGAGACTTACATTATGAGAAGTAATTGGCGCTCATTTCCATTGATGAGAGAGGAATAAGATCTGTTTGGTGTAGTGTTAAAATAAGTTTAATTAGATGGATTAAGGCTTTTTAAGGTAAAACAATCTATCTTTCAGCTGATGCTCAACAACATTAGGAAACAGTTGAGGGTAAGACTGGGAAAGAGAGGGAGAACAACTCTATTAAGAACTGTCTGTGATGTATAATACATTATGAGTCTTGTGAGGGGCTCTCTTGAGGCACAGTGGTAGTATCCTTATCCCTAAGCAAATGGCTCCAGATTTCTGACAGAACAAGGTCATTAGAAAGAGAATGGCAAAGCACAGAGGTCAAGACAGATGATTAGAAACAACACAAAAGTTGAACAGCGAAGAAAAAGCTTTAGAAGTCTCAAGTAGAAGACCTTTGGTGTCATCTTCAGGCCTTGACATGTAGTTACAACAACACAAAACAGCTGGAAAATTTGTTAATCGTTTGAAACCCAATGTGCATTCAAATAATCATGGAAATTAAACTAGTGTGGAGCTGGAGGAACACAGCAGGCCAGGCAGCATCACTGGAGCAGGAAAGTTGACGTTTCAGGTTGGGACTTCAGATTCCTGAAGAAGGGTCCCGACCCGAAAAGTCAACTTTCCTGCTCCTCTGGTGCTGCCTGGCCTGCTGTGCTCCTCCAGCTCCACACTGTTATCTCTGACTCCAGCATCTGCAGTTCTTGCTATCTCTGATGGAAAGTAAACTGACCTTTTTCTTTTCAAGAAAGAAAAACATAAGGAAGTTGTGAAATGCACAAAATAAAGACTACAGAAGAGATTTATATTTTTGTAAATGTACTATATTACCTTTAAGGGTAGAAATACAGGAATTTTAAAGAACCTTAAAATTTTACTGTTACACCTGCATGGCAAAATAAAATTCTAGAAACAAGTGTCACGGGCCTTCAGCTTTGTTCAAACAGTTCCTGTTCCAGTGCAATAACTTCATCAAAAGCGGTGTTTATAAATGTGAACAGGATTTCTTGCTTATTGGCAGTTTTAGAGAAATTCAGGACCATGGTCTCATAATTATTTTGTTTTTGTTATATACAAAGTGAAACACAACCAAAGGAAGTTGCTAGGAGCTATTAATGTTATTATTGCTATTAATGCTATTAATAAACTTATTAATGTCTAAGATTGTACTCATTCTTAAATAATCCTTTAAAAGCAATTTTGCTTTGGTTTTTAATCTTGTTGTGCCATATGCATTTAAAATACAAAAGCAAGTCATGCTACAGAAGGAGGCCATTTGTTCCCCCCATGTCTATACAAACTCTGCAAAAGCAATCTAAAACTAATCCCACTTCCTCTTCATATTTGTGTACCTTCCTCTGTTCAAATATCTCTTCAAATCTTTTGCAGAACATGCCGTGGTCTTAACCATGTGTTAACCAGTCTCTCTGTCAAAGCACATAGACTTTAACAATCCTCCATGAAAAGAAATCTCTTGTAACCTTTCTCCTCAATATGTTTGTGACGACATTAAATGAATAACACCCTGTATCCTCATCAGTAACTTCCTGTCAAGTGGAAACATCCCCATTTCCTCTCTAGGTGATAAGTTTGAAAATATGCTATTTGAGAAGTCACATAAAATTAGTTGGTGCAACACAGTGTATCCAATTTCTTCATTCTAAAATATTCCCTCTCAATTTCTTGAGCGACTTCATTCATCAATATCCACATATGTTCTGGTACAGTGACACATGGGAAAAATCTATGGCATTATACTAGGAGAATATCCAAAATAGAATATATGCAGAAAGAGGCAGGTGCAAATATACAAGATATTGGAAAGAACTATAAACTGACAGCAATGTCTACTTTTTATAATAATAGATTATGTAGAGTTCAAAAGCTGAATTTGTTACCACAGCACCTGGGAGTGGTGACACCATAAATCTCATCACCTGAATTTGCAAAAATATGTATTAAAAAATCTTTTCAGATAGTACATTAAAACCCCAATATGAAATGCTTTTAAGAATCCCATTGTATGAACCTTGGCAGGCACTATAAATGAGAATGCTTGAACTGAAAACCCTGACTTTTTGTTGTAGGATAATAATGTCAATGCATTCACCTAAAAGTTCTCTGTTTTTTAACAAGTTAATGCATCTGTTGAAATGTGAGTTAGTAACTCCCCAAAATCATGGAAAAAAATTCCATAGTCAGTTCTAAGGTTTGACTGATTTTTTTAAACATATTTACAGATAATCCATTCATTAAGGCAGAAAACACCAGTCATTTTTTTTTAATATGCCATAAACAATGTTCACAATGGCTTTGTTTGCATAGTTTAAAGGGTTAATTACAGTAATAAATCCGTGGTTCTAGTAATGGAAGGTTCAAACTCTAGAAGTAAAACCTTAACACTAAAGCAGTTACAGTAAAATTATAGAACCTATGCAATTATAAAGCATGTATTTATATGTGTGCTATAAATTTTTTTCTTATCCAGGGCTCATGTGCTTGAGGCAACATTATCTTTTATTGTCCAGTCCTTAGTTGTTACATGCATGCACTGTGTGTCTCATTAGCCCAATTCACCACTCCACTATTATATTTAATGCTCCTGAAAGCTGTGTTCTAGTCATCAGCGAGGCAAATTGACCACATCCAACAAGCACCTTAAACTGCTGAAAAACAACATGGGTTACTTACTGTATGTGCTGAGAAGTCCTTCAAACTGTACAAGCAAACCCACAGTGTGAAGCTGCAATAGGAAGTCCTGGTCGTGTAAACACGTGTGCAGTTTGATCACAAAACCACAGACGAGACCGGCAAGCTGATGCAAAGAAAAGTAGTAAAGTATTAATTTGAAAATAAATTGTGCAGTTTTATTTAATAAACAAAATAATTTTCAGGTATAATTTTTTCAAGACTTAATGTAAGTATTACAGGATAGGATAAAATTAACAGTATTATACTTCCTATTTCAAACCTATGGAAGCAACAGGGAAGACGTTCTCTGAAATATGGAGATTGCAATAGCACTAAAACAAAAAACTGAAAACTTTTTAATGCAATGGACATTATCTTGGACAGAAGAAAATCGCCAGTCAAAATAATTCAGTTGGGAGAGCATTAGACTGAAGATCTAAAGGTCCCTGGTTCAATCCCAGGTTGTGGCAAAATGAGCGCTTGCCGATCGTGTTAGCCGGGCATGGTGGCATGCACCTGTAATCCAGCGACTCGGAGGCTGAGGCTATCGGATTGCTTGAGACCAGGAGTTCTGGGCTGCTGCCGACTATGCCGATCAGGTGTCCTCACTAAGTTGGAAAAAAAATATTTTTAAGAGGTCCGCGGTAGTGTAGTGGTTAGTATCCCTGCCTGACATGCGGAAGACTGGGGTTCAATTCCCTGCCGGAGGGAATCCAAGCATTTTTGGGGCCTTTCAGCGAAAAGGACCCAAGCTTTAATTGGGGCGGCACGGTGGCTCTGCTGGCTCACAGCGCCAGGGACCTGCGTTCAATTCCGGGCAACTGTCTGTGTAGAGTTTGAACATTCTCTCTGCATCTGCGTGGGTTTCGTCTGGGTGCTCCGGTTTCCTCCCACAGTCCAAAGATGTGCAGGCTAGGTGGATTGATCATGCTAAATTGCTTGTAGTATTCAGGGATGTGTAGATTAGGTGGGTTTTAGGGGGATGGGTCTGGGTGGGATGCTCCAAGGATGGGTGTGGACTTGTTGGGCCAAAGGGCCCGTTTCCACACCGTAGGGATTCTTTGACTGCAAAAAGTGGCAGATAATGGAATGTTGAAATAAGAGTAGAAAGTGCAGGAAATAATCAGTCGGTCTGGCAGCAACCATGGAGAGAGAAAACAGAAATAACACTTCAGGTCCAAACACTAATGGTGAAACACTTTCTGTTTTTGTTCCTTTTACAACCTTGTTCAGTTTCAAAAGTGCAAATTTTGCAGTGGCAATCTTTAAGTAGTTATACAGCAGGATTGAATGATCTCAATTCATAGTTATCATGTTGTCCAAAAGCATTAAAAGGCAATGACTAGATCTCCCAAGGTGCTGTCAACACTCCTCAGGAACGAACTGATGTGAGAGTGTGTGAGAAAATAACTAAACATTAATCCAGATGTAACTGCTTGGCAGTATAGAATTTAAATACTGATAAAAGGAAACAAGTGAAGATTAGTGAGAAGCCGGAAGTTTGGTAAGCCTCTAAAATCCAGCAGACAACAATTAATAAAGCAACCTGGGGAGAAAATGAGTAGGAAGATAAGCTAGCTAGTAATATAAAAGAAGACTGCAAGAGTTTTTTAAATATATAAAAGGAAAAAGAAAGCAAAAACGGACATTAGACCACCAGAAAATGAGGCTGGAGAAGTCATTATGAGGAACAAAAAAATAGTGGAGGAACTGAATTTGCATCAGTCTTCAGGGTGGGAAATTTGAGTACTTTCAAGGAGTTAGGGAGCAGAGGTGAGTGTACTGGCCATTACTAAGGAGAAGGTGCAGGGGAAGCTGTAAAGTCTGAAGGATAAATCACCGAGACTGGATGATTCTGAAGGAGATAGCTGAGGAGATTGTGGAGGCATTGGTGATGATCTTTCAGAAATCACTGGAGTCAGGAGGTCCCAGAGGAATGGAAAATCAGTAATTTAACACCCCTATTTAGGGATGGAGGGAGAAGGCAAGAAATTATAGTCTAGTTAGCTTGACCTCAGTCATTGGTAAGATTTTAGAGTCCATTATCAAGAATGAGATTGTGGAATACTTGGAGTGCGTGGTAAAATAGGGCTGTGTCAGCATTGGTTAATCAAAGGGAGGTCATGTCTGACAAATCTGTTTGAAATCTTTGCTCATTACACCTTCAAAGGAAGACCAGTAGACATGATCTATTTGGATTTCCAGAAGGCCTTTGACAAGGAGACTGTTAAATAAGTTAAGAGCCCATGTTACTAGGGGCAAGATACAGGCACGGATAGAAGATTGTCTGATTGATAGAAGGTAGAAACTGGGGATAAAGGGGTCTTTTTCAGGATGGCAGTAGGTGACATTGGAGTCAGTGTTGGGACCACAACTATTCACGTTACATGCTAATTATCTGGATGAAGGAACTGAAGGCATCGTTGCTAAGTTTGCAGATGGCACAAAGATAGATGGAGAGACAGTACTGAGGAGGTGGGAGGCTACAGAACAACTTAGACAGGCTAGGAGAGTGGTCAAAGGAGTGTCAGATGGACTACAAAGTGGGAAAGTATGAGGTTATGCGCTTTAGTAGGAAGAATAGAGACGCAGACTATTTTCTAAATGTGAAAAAGCTTTGAAAGTACAAGGGGGCTTAGGAGTCCTAGTTTAGCATTTTAAAGGTTAACATGCAAGTTCTGTTGGCAGTTAGGAAGACAAATGCAATGTTAGCATTCATTTCAAGATAGTGTACAATACAAGAGCAAAGATGTATTGCTGAAGATTTAGAAGGCTGTGGTCAGAACATCTTTAGAATATTGCCAGCAGTTTTAGGCCCTGCATCTAAGGAAGATTGTGCTGGCCTTGGAGAGTGTCCAGAGAGGTTTATAAGAATGAACCCAGGGATGAAAAGCTTGTCTTATGAGGAGCGGTTGAAGGCTCTGGGTTTGTACTCAATGGACTTTAGAAGGATGGGGGGGGGGGGAGAAGAGAGGGGGGAGGAGGGTGTAATCTCATTGCTGTTTACAGAATACTGAGGGGTCTGGATAAAGTGGATGTGGAGAAGATCTTTCCACTAGTACCAGGGACTAGGACCTGAGGGCACAACCTCAGAGTAAAGGGACAAACCTTTGGAACAGAGACGAAGGGGAATTTCTTCAGCCAGAGGGTGGTGAATCCATGGAACTCATTGCTACAGAAGGCTGTGGAACCCAAGTAACTGAATTTATTTAAGGCAGAGATAGATAGGCTGTGGATAGTAAGAGGATCGAAGGTGATGGGAAAAAGACAGAAAAGGGCTTAGAAACATCAGCCATGACTGAATCGTGAAGCAGACTTGACAGGTCAAATGGCCGAATTCTGTTCATTTATCTTGTGGTCTTAAATGAAGAAATATTTTACAGATCGACAGTAATTGTAATAACATTCAAATATCAGAGTTTGGAATAAATTTACAACCCTGAATGATCTCTCATGATGTTGCTCACAGATTTGTATTCAGCAGATGATGCATAGTTTTATGCAGAGTAACTTTAAGTGGAGTCCTGCCATTTTGCCTCAAAGCATATCTGCTCATTAGGTTCATTCTCTGCCCTTATTCTACCCGGTTACTATTATGTTCCACTTTCCATTTATTTTTCTTAAATGAGTACATAATGCAGTAGCATAAATCAATTCAGGAAGTCAGCTCACTAGTTCTTCCATAAGTTGTGATCGGCAAGAAAATTAAACCTTCAGAAACCTACTGGCTAATTTGTAAATAAATTGGATTTTTGACTGGGGAGTAGCTCCTGGCAATTGTCACCTTCTTGGGGGAGCTCACTTTCTTTTCCAATACAGATCCTAAAAGGGAATTAACAGTCACGGACTTCTGTATTATCCATGGCTATTTCTGGCAAAGTACTGCAGTGGTTGCTGTTGCCTTCTGCTGCACTGGGCAATACACACAACCAGATCGCAAGGCTTCCGAATATGTAGAATTGACTAGCTGGGCGCATACCATTAAGAGTGAAAAGGAAAGTATTCAGGGCATTCAAAAAGACAGATTTATAGGTGTTTGTGATTTGTTTCTGGTAAATATTTTCCATTTCTGGTAAATGTTATTTTTAGAGAAATAAGATGAGGTGGATTAAAGAAAAACATACTGGAGAAACTCAGCAGGTCTGGAGCATCTATGAAGAGAGAAACAGAATTAACGTTTTGAACACATGACTTCTTCAGTTCAGCATCCGCAGTATTTTGCTTTTATTTGAGGTGGATGAAAGTTATCTTGTAATTGTATCTTGGAATGTATTATTTGCTGGGATAAGAAATGATGCAATTAGTACAGTGGAATCTGAGTGGAAAGAAATTAAAATTTGTCTTAAGACTGATGAATAATGCAAGTGAAAATACTGAGGCAAAAAAATGGACTTAATATTACAAGTACGTAAGAAGAAAATTGTCCAATGGGTTGATGTCGTGAACAAACATAACGTACTTAACCTGACGGAAAATTTTATTCTTAGTTATTCAAATTTCTGATAACCAATGGCATAAAACGTTATGGGGATTTTATGGGTAAAAGGCATTGAAACATTTGATCAGCCATGATCATGTCAAATATAGGAGCAGGCACAGTGGGCTGAATGGGCTACTTACGTCCGAAGTAAAGGTAAATTTTGTATCATTAACAAAACATCTATTAATTGATTACTGTTCTTTATTTGATATGTTATTCCAACAGTAAATTAGACTGCAGTACAACACCTTATTTAAAATTTAAAATATTGATAACAACATAATTATGTTTTAAATTTTTAATTGTAATGGTTGGAGTATTTGGTTTTCTGCAAGTTGTATTTGGTCTACAGGATTTTATTCGCTTTGGTAACAAAAGCCAAGTCAATCAAACAATTTGGAATAATCACAAGTTAAAAGTGTTTTACAGTTAATTAAATGATCAAGCAAGAACAAGTAGCATTCTACTTCAGTTTTAGAGATTGGGAAATTGTAGTTGGGATTCTTGCCTTCTTTGGAACCGAAACTTGACAATTCCTTTTGACATGTGTATGAAATTTTTTTTAGAAAATGAGATGGCTTAGATTATGAGTGTTGCAGAGTTCTGATAAGAATTGCTCAAATGTAGCATTTATAGAAAATGCT